AAAAAAAAAAAAAAAAAAAAAAAAAAAAAACGCATCAAGAGTCTAAACAGCACTTGCCTTATTTTTCTCATTGTACAACCAAAGATGTGGAGTCAGCATCTTTTCTATGCCTTGGCAAATTGTCACATTCCTTTCCAGGTTTCGATCAGCTTCCAACATTTTATCCTTTATCCTTTCAATGCTGTGAAATACCTCTAAGAAGCCCTTTAATGTTTAGTGTTTTATTGACGTCACTTCCTCTGGGACATCTTTTTCCTTTCTGTAGCAATCATTTTCCTTTTCTATATTAATAAGTTCACCTCTGCTAAGTTCCTCTGAGTGTGTATGTAGATACTCTTGAATAGCAGTAATGTCAACATTCCCACAGTCAACTATTTATTTCTATAACTCCATTTATGTTCTATTCAAATTTCACTTCAAACATTATTGCTTCCCATTTCTTTTCTGTACTTTCATCTTTGAAAGTTGTCCAATTCACTCTTTTGATTATCCATTTTTGTAAAATATTATGTGGGTTTATCACCAGGAGATAAGGAGGCAACATAACTACAGGCTTTGCTTTCTGTGCATGAACTGAATAATGGATGCATAGTGACCATTCCTAAACAGACTTTAAAAGAAATGTTATGATTGGTCACTGATCATGATGGGCTTTTGTTACTTATATAGTAATTTGTGGACTGAAGAGCTAGCAGAAAAAGGTGTATTTTATGCAACTACAGTAATTTATGGTGGTAATTCGAATTAGAACTGTGTTCGGCCAACCCCGTGGCTCACTCGGGAGAGTGCAGTGCTGGGAGTGCAGCGGCACTACTGCCGCGGGTTCGGGTCCTATATAGGGATGGCCAGTGTGCTCACTGGCTGAGCACAGTGCAGTGCGGGCAACATCAAGCCAAGGGTTGCAATCCCCTTACCAGTCACAGAAAAAAAAAAAAAAAAAAAAGAACTGGGTTATTGTAGGGACTGATGTTATTTAAAAAATTGGGGTAACTGGAATATTGGAACCATGCAAAGTAAGGACTGCCTGTATTTATTTATCATAAACAAAATTAATACATCACATTAGCATAAATGTTTTTATGAAAACTGTATTTTCCAAAACAAAAATTTTGCAAGAATAGCATTGTTCACACGTTTACAAATGTCATTAATGTTGTGCTAAGTAGATAATTTGGGCCGGCCCGGTGGTGCACTGCTACAGTGCGCTGCTTGGGAAGCGCAGCGGCGCTCCCGCCGAGAGTTCGGATCCCACATACAGACTGGCCGCTCACTGGCTGAGCAAGGAGCGGGGGCAACGCCGAGGGTTGCGATCCCGTTGCCGGTCCCGGTCCGGTACGGGCGCGACACTGAGGGTTGCAATCCGTTACCGGTCACGAAAAAAAGACAAAAAGACAAAAAAAAAAAAAAAAAGAAGAAGATAATTAGAGTCTCCTATCTATTTCTGCATTCAATCTATTCTAATATTACACATTAAGCAATGCCTGGAAACTCCTCCATACACTCATTAGAGAATAGGAATTTAAAAAGGCAAATAATGTCTTGAAATTGTTAAGAAAATAATTTTGATCTTTCAGACCTATGAAAGGGTCTGGGTCCAGGACCACACTTTCAGAACCACTGCTCTAAGGCATTCTTGGTATATAATGAAATAACTCTTCTCCTATGCAACTAGAATGGTACTACTTATATACCATTATGCATCTTTGGGAAAATTGAGAACACAGTCCCTCAAATAATTTTCAGTCTTTGGTTCAGATGGAATAACCCTGATGAGAAAGGCTGAGATAGATTAATGTTCAACTACACAGTATTATCTACAACAGCAACTGGAGATCAATGGAGGAAACAATCATGTAATAACGGGAAAAAAAGGACATCTAGGAAGTACCACTGATGAAGCTGGTCTCTTGTATATAAAAGGCAAGTTAGATAAGAAGTAATGCATGAGTAAATGAATAGAAACAAAAAGGAAGGTAAAGAGAAACCAGATTAAAAAGAACGTGAAATATTTTGTTTAATATGTCTGTTTCATTGACAATACATGAGAAAAATGCTGCCAATCCTCAGCAAATTTTTAATAAGAATAAATAAGTACAATGTTCTTATTCAGCAGGAGAATGAAATAAATGTTTCTAAAATGAATAAACAAAAAACCCACACAAACTCCACCTCCACTTTTGACCTGGACAGAAGGAAATTTCTGCATGTTTCTCTTTAATCTTCATCAGGTAGAATGGAATAGAAAGCTGACTCTGCAACCACATTTCTCACAGTAGGAATAACCTACTGCTTTAAAAAATTATGTTGTCTAAGATATTAATGTACATCCATAAAATAAACTGAAAATTACATTTAAAAACAAAACCAACAAAGTGCTGATTTTACTAAAAGAAAAAAAAAGCTAGGTAAGAACTCAATTTCTACCTTTGGCAGTCTGATAAGATTTTAGTCACTATTGTTATCTAGGAATAATACAAAATTACTGGACAAATTATGTACTTTGTAAAATGCAATGGGAAGAAAAATCCATGGTTATGAACACACATATTTTTGTAGCATCAAGAAGCATTTACAGATCAATCAGTAGTCAACAAAATACATGACAACAAAATACATGAATCTCTTTCTCCTGATATCAGTAGATTATATTCCCACAAAAGATACTATCTGCATGATAAAACCTAAGATGATAAATCTCAGAGTACTAAATTACTTTTAATTCAACATCTGATTAAAAACCAAAACAAAGCAAAGCC